TTTGTGCGCAGTCACGCGACTTTTTTCCATTCTAAATTCAATTGAAGTCATATGTTTCACAACATAAAAAAGATCAATGATCGATTTTGTCACATGTGATAAAACGAATGTCCACTATGCTCATTTAATTACATGAAATGTTGTTACATTAATAAAAAAATAAAGTATATATATTAATATTATAATTACAATATTATAATATCTGAAAGTGTTAATATTAATTTGAAAGTGTTATGATATTTGAAAGTGTTACGATATTAATATTCGGAAGTGTTACAATATTCAAAAGTGTTACAATATTCAAAAGTGTTATGATATTCGAAAGTGTTACGATATTCAAAAGTATTATATATTATTATTATTATTATTATTATTATTATGATATTCGAAAGCATTACAATATTTGAAAGTGTTACAATATTTGAAAGTGTTACGATATTCGGGGGTATTACAATATTTGATATTTATATTCGAAAGTATTATGGATATTTGAATAATAAGAATTGAAATATCATTTCCATAAAATTACACTACTGTTACTATTATAATGACATTGAATTTTATTTATTTACAAAAAATAGAGATGTTAAATTCACACAATCTATTCGCTATGAAAGGGATTTTTGCAAAAAAAAATTGTAAACCCATATTTTTGCACAATTCTAATTCCCTTATTATTTTTTTTATAATGTGTCTTTATCTCTGTATCTATCACATCACATTTTTTTATGTATAAAATATTTTAACGGCTAAAAACAACTTTTTTTATTATTAATTAATGTCAAAAAATGATTGTGCGCAATTAATGATTTTGTGTAATTGTTAATTTAGTAATGATATTCAAACCAATCAAAATGCTTTTTTATGTGATAAAATCAAAATGTGATTGACGCAAATCATTACCAAATATGCAAATGTCCGCTATGCTGGTTTTTACCAAAATTAGAAAATTTTAGGGAAAATCAAGATTTATATGGAATGTGTAACGTTGATCACAGCGAACAAAAAATTTATATATAAATATATATATACACACGAGAGTTTTATTCCTATATTACCACTACCACTACCACTGTCGTCTCATTCTTGTTCTACTGCTATTGTTACTGTTACTGCTACTGTTACTACTGCTTTTAATGTGCCATTATTATATCTGATGCCATTACATTAGAGAAAGTTAAATCTTTCAAAGAAATGT